TTCCTCCCTTCTTCTCTTCCTTATTTTCTTTCTTTTTTTTTTCTTGAGAATGGTTTCTTCCTCTATGCTTCTAGCTACTCATACAGTGATATAAGACTTAATATAATTTTGCCTCTGATCTTTTACTTGATAATTTTCCCTCTATAACATTAACATTCAGAGGTATATCATTCAGAGTCCTTGGGGAACACAGATTGCACACTCAAATGGGGGAACTGAGGAAAATATAACAAAAGAGCTGTTCATACGTTCATAAAGTTGTGGGTAGGGTTAAAGAATATCTACCAGAGTGGTGAAACATTGAGTCTGGCATCAGCGAGGAACACTAGAAGGAACCCCTAGGCCTGAAGGGGCCAGGGAAGGAAGGGTTACAAGAACCCAGAAAGATCTGTAACTAGCTGTAGTTGGAGGAAAGGGCCACCCAACAGGGTCTGTGGCCTCTGGTAACCACAGGAGTGTGTCCAAGAGACACAACAGAAGAGCTAGCTGCCAGTTCAACCCACAGAACCAGGAGAAAGAATACATTGTTTTTTTTAAACTACCAAGTTTTTGTCATCATTGTTGTTGTTTTTAAGTAATCTCTATGCCCAATGTAGGCTCAAACTCATGATCCGGAGACCCAAAGTTGCATGCTCTACAGACTGAGCCAGTCAGGTGTCCCTGGAACCCATACTTTTTAAAAAATAATTTATGTATTTATTTTAGAGAACGAGAGCACGAGAAGGGGGAGGGGTAGAGGGAGACAGAAAGGGAGAGAGAATCTCCAGCACACTCCCCACTGAGCGCAGAGTCTGACACAGGGCTCAATCCCAGGACCCCAAGATCACCACCTGAGGTGAAACCAAGAGTTGGTCACTTAACCGACTGAGCCACTCAGGTGCCCCGGAACCCATACTTTTGATACAAACATAGTAAAAATGTTTTCACTTTTCATAGAGATACTTAAAACAGTTTCCTGAGAGCATTTAATCTTTATTTTGTCTCAGTTGTTTGAGACATAGCAAAATATATGATGCTGTCTCTAGAAATTTTATTCCAAGCCCATTTACCTGCCATTAGAATAGTTTACTTTCTTTAGTTGATCCTATATTTGTATATCTGTGATCTTTTTTTTTTTTAAGATTTTATTCATTTATTTGACAGAGAGAGACACAGCGAGAGAGGGAACACAAGCAGGGAGAGTGGGAGAGGGAGAAGCAGGCTTCCCGCGGAGCAGGGAGCCCGATGCGGGACTCGATCCCAGGACCCTGGGATCACGACCTGAGCCGAAGGCAGACGCTTAACGACTGAGCCACCCAGGCGCCCCTATATATCTGTGATCTTCACAAAGTAACCATTTATGCATTACTCTCTAAGGTGATTAATATTTAATAAACTAATATCTTGGTCCTGAGGTGTGCAGGTCTTGTGGATTGGCTCACTGAACATTTATTCCTTTTTTTTTTTAACACTGTCTTTTGTTTTTAGTATTTTATTTATTTATTATTTAACAGGGAGCGAGAGATAGAGTAAGAGAGCACAAGCAGGGGGAGCAGCAGGGAGAGGGAGAGGGAGAAGCAGGCTTCCCACCAAGCAGGGAGCCCGATGCGGGGCTCGATCCCAGGACCCTGGGACCATGACCTGAGCTGAAGGCAGGCACTTAACCGTCTGAGCCACCCAGGCGCCCCTGAATCACTTTCTCTTTTGCCTTCCTTTATTATTGAGGGTAGAAAAGAAAATGCTAAAATTTCCGGGCTCCCTTGCATCTAGAGATGGCCATACAATAGTTCGGTTTGAGGAGATGTAGGTGAAAATCTGCTGTGAGATCTTCTTTTCCTGTATAAAAGAAAAAGCCACAAGAGGAAGAAGCCCTTTGTCTTAGCCCTTTTGCTTTCCTCCTGATTGAAAACAAGAGAATTTGAGAATGATTTAATAAAGAACCTATTTACAAAGTTATAGGGAAACCACAGGGGTACAGCAGTACCCTAAGGTGAGTATCAGAGAAGCTGTCACCAATAAAGGCCGGAAGCAACTAGAAACAGAACAAGAGATGTGTGTGTGTGTGTGGGGGGGGTATTGGAGGAGTGACTTGAGGGGTGCTAGGACCTTCAGTGGGGGTCACAGATACTCTCCCCACTCCATCTGACCTTCTGTGAGGGCTTCCCTTAGGCTGAACTCTGCTGGGATCCAGGGGGCAAGGTCTGCCTCCTGGAAACAAATCTGGGTGGAAAAGAATAGAGAGTTAATCTGGAAAGAAAAACAGCACAAAAGGCATCTCATTTATCTTTATATCCATATTGTGCAACAGGTGGTGCGAGTGTGAGTATCTGGTACAAAGTAGGAGATGAATAGATTTTTATTGAATTTCACTGAATATAGTTCTTTGTTCTACCCTGCAGTGCTTAAGACCCAATCTGGAATCTCCACCAACCTCACTCAGGCCAAATAATTCAACATAAAATTGCTGGTCTGCAAGGAACTTCCTTTAGCCAGTTGAAAAGCTTTTTGGGTCCCTTTCTGAGGCCAGAGTAAGTGGCTCTTTGAAACAACTTTTGTATATTTGGACTTTCTAAAGCATTAGATAGTTCCACAGTTATACAAAGCCTGTCTTCCGGTACAGTCTAACTGCTACATACCTACTTCATGAAGCCCTTCCAGAAGAACTACCTTCTGTGTGCTATCTATATGGCTAAGTCTCAGTTTCCACATCTGTAAGATAAGGGTGATAATAACTACCCAACATTCAAGCCTCAGGTACAAATGTCACCTCCTCAGGCTTTCTAGGATACCATATTAAAGAAGAGGCATACCGCACCCCATTACTCTCTAGCCCATTAATACCTTGTTTTTCCTCCCACTGCAGTTATTACTTTTTTATTGTAGTTTATTTATTGTTCATTTGTAGATTGTTGGTCTTCTCCCAAAAGAATATTTGCTCCTTGTGAGCAAAGACCTTGTCTGTGTTGTTTGCTGCTCTATTCCCAGCATCTAGAAGGGTGCATGGGGTATGATGGTTGTTTGATAAATATTTGTAGATGAATGGATAAAAAATACCAATTACCAACTTTAGGGCTGTTGTGAATATTAAATGAGATAACAGTGAAATGCACCTGGCGCAAAGTAGAACTCCATAAACCTAGCTGTTTTCTTTCTTTTTTTTCCCTCCCTCACCTGCTATATCCAATCCTTTAGCAAATCAGATTGACCTCAGCCTCAAAACGTATCCAAAATTCTCTACTTCATTCACCTCCGCCCCTCTAGTCAAGCCCCCTTCACCTCTCACCTGGACTACAGGTAAGTCTCCTAGCTGATCTCCCTTCTTCCCCTCTTGCTCTTGTCACCCTCATTCTTCACAATGAGAGAAATTTATTTATTTATTTTTAACCAGGGAAAACTTTTAGAAATACAGTTCAGATATTCAGATCATCAACTGCTTTCTGGGTACCCAAACTTCTTTACATGGCCTGGCCCCTGCCATCCTCTTAGATTTCATCTGCTTTAGGTCCACACACACACTCTCTCTCCCTCCCTTTCTCCTGAAATTTAACAAATTTATTTTCTTTTTTTTTTAAAAGATTTTATTTATTTATTTGAGAGAGAGAGAGAATGAGAGCTAGAAAGCACGAGAGGGAAGAGGGTCAGAGGGAGAAGCCGACTCCCTGCTGAGCAGGAAGCCCGATGTGGGACTCGATCCCGGGACTCCAGGATCATGACCTGAGCCGAAGGCAGTCGCTTAACCAACTGAGCCACCCAGGCGCCCCTTAACAAATTTATTTTCATCGTAGCACCCATAGCACTGATGGATTCTTCTGTCAGAACTTCGCGCTAACTGGCTCCTTATTGTCTTTCAGACCTCAATTTATTTATTTATTTATTTTTAAAGATTTTATTTTATTTTTTTTTAAAGATTTTATTTATTTATTCATGAGAGACAGAGACAGAGAGAGAGAGAGGCAGAGGGAGAAGCAGGCTCCCAAGGAGCAGGGAGCCCGATGCGGGACCCGATCCCAGGAGTCTGGGATCATGACCTGAGCCGAAGGCAGACGCTTAACCATCTGAGCCACCCAGGCGCCCATAAAGATTTTATTTTTATTTATTTGACAGAGAGAGACACAGTGAGAGAAGGAACACAAGCAGGGGGAGTGGGAGAGGGAGAAGCAGGCCTCCCGCTGAGCAGGGAGCCCGGCGGCGGCGCGGGGCTCGATCTCAAGACCCTGGGACCATGACCTGAGCTGAAGGCAGACGCTTAACGACTGAGGCAGCCAGGCGCCCCAGACCTCAATTTAAATAGGGATTCCTTTGAGAGGAAGTATTACTAATCTAATGTGGCCATTTCTTATTATACCACCTTTTATATCACTTAATACCATCTAATATTTCCTTGTTTATATGTTTGTCCCTTCCAACTAGGTTTTAAGCTTTGTGAGCACAGAGACGTCTGTCACGTTCTTCACTCTATCCCCAAAGCTAGAACAATGCCTGAAACACACAGCATATGCATAATAAATATTTGTTGAATAAGTTAATGCATTGATTATGATGATGACAACAAAATTTCAGACGACCTGGCCACAAATTCTGACGACTTTCTCAAGAATAAGAATCGCATTTCCGAAGATCCTGGTAGACTGTGGAAATCGACAATAAAAGATCTGGGGCCAAAGTCTGGAGGAAGCAGAGGTAATATTTTGGAATTTGGGCCTTTCCCCCCCCATCCAAGGATCTCAGAGACCTCGCAGAAGGGAAGCCTAGAATCTTCTGAGAAGAAATTCCAGCCCAGCCACAACGAATATTTTTCCATCCACGATTCTTCGCAGCCGCTTCTGCTAGGTTGAAAATGCGCAAACACCTCTAGGACCCCGGGCTCCTTTCTGTTTCTTTATGAATGAACCGGCTCTAGTCTGCGCAGGCGCAGCTCCTGGTTCTCCTGCTCCACGTGAGGCCCACCCTTCCCTCCCGCTGGCGGCCCCGCCCTTATTCTTTCTAATGAACCAATGGCGAGCGGCCTGGGGGGCGGAGCCCGGAGCGGCGCGGCACTGTAGATCCCCCGGCGCCCGGCTCCCTCGCGTTAGTCTTGCTGTGTTGTGATCACGTGGCCAGCTCCGGGCGCGGCGCTTGTTTTGGTTTCCCTCTAGCTTGTCCCTGGCTGCTTCGGGGTGAGCGACTTTGCTGTGCCGGTTGCTGCGCCTGCCTTACACTCTGATCTCCTCTGCTTAGGGCTCTTTCAGCCCGCAGTTCGGCAAGCCCTTCGGGGCCGGCTACTGCCATGCCGCTAGTTCGCTACAGGAAGGTGGTCATCCTCGGGTACCGCTCTGTAGGTGAGTCTCAGCCTTGGGGAGAGCACGGACGCACCGCGGCTTTGTGGCCAGAGGAGGCGCGCTGTCGCGGGAACGCGACCCAGAGAGGAATGGTGGCATCGTTAGAACGGGGTTGTAGGACGAGGATTGAAAGGATGGAGGAGGAAAGGCTGGGGTGGTGGTAGTGTGTGGAGGGCTGCAGGAAGTAGGAGCATGTAAGGGTTAATGTGGGCTTGGTTGCAGGAACACCAGAGTGGTCCCCTGTGTTAACCTGGGAGGGGTAGGGATGGGGTCAGGCTTTGATGACGGGGGCGCGGTCTGTGTGGGTGGCAAGTCTCAGGTGTCCGGGTGCGGGGCAGACCTGATCCTAGGGGAATCCCGGCTCTTCCCGGGGGTGGGGTGCGGAAAGGCGGCAGGAAAGGCTTCCTGCGGCGCTACTGAATGCATCCGGTGGCCAGGGTGCAGAGACCCAAGGCGAAAAGAGGGTGAGGGTAGGCTAAGGAAAAACATTGCATGGCACTCACAGGCTAGGGTGCTAATTTGGGGTCCTCTTTAGTCCTGGGCCACAGTCCGAAAGGACAGAGGATGTAAATGTGGATGGATGATTTGGATACAACTACCACTGCTTCCCACAGGGAAGACATCTTTGGCACATCAGTTTGTGGAGGGCGAGTTCCTGGAAGGCTATGATCCTACAGTGGAGAACAGTGAGTAGATTTCTCCCCTAGGGATGGAGGAGGGAGGTCTTTGTTACCCCACCTAATTCTGTAATCTGGGGTTTTCCTGGTGCCAAGGGGCTGATTTAATTATCCATTAAATATAATCTCTTCTCTAGCAATCTTGTTCTATTAGTTGAGCTGGAGTGTGGATTTTGCAGGGTACTGCATCCAGGATGGTGTAGACTAGACAATAAGAACCTTGACATTGTCTCTCCAGCTGCCTGGAGTGCTCCCTGGTCCTGGCCCATCTATATATCACCCCTAGAGTTAAGAACGCATCGGGGCACACATTGCTAGCCCCACAAGGCACCTCACAGTCAAGTTTTCTTTTCTTTTCAGCTTACAGCAAGATAGTGACTCTTGGCAAAGATGAGTTTCACCTACACCTGGTGGACACAGCAGGGCAGGTACCAGTTTGGGGTAGGGTAATCTAAATGTGGCAGTTCAGTAATGGGAGATGAAGTCTGGTTGCCTCCGTGGCTCATCAATCTGTAAAGTAGTTTTAAAAGAAAAGCATTTTAGCAGCCGGTAGTGTGCAGTGCACGTTGGAGCTACTCTGTAAATACTTGTCTAATAGAAATGACTGGAGTAGGGAGTGCCCCAGGGAGGGTCCCCAGGATGCAACCCACCAACCTTTGCCATCTGAGTGTTGTGTATCTAGGTGTTGATGTTTCTGTTTCTTGTCAGGATGAGTACAGCATTCTGCCCTATTCATTCATCATTGGGGTCCATGGTTATGTGCTTGTGTATTCTGTCACCTCTCTGCATAGGTAAGTGACCAAGGTTATGAGTGGGGGACTTGGGAGCATCTGAGGGCTGTCCCAGAATAAGTTTATAGCTCCATTTCTTATGTTTAAAGCTTCCAAGTCATTGAGAGTCTGTACCAAAAGCTACATGAAGGCCACGGGAAAACTCGGTAAGTGGCCCTGGGAGATAGAGACAGAGTATGGACATGAGGACGTGGAAGAGAGTGGAGGGTCCAAGTGAGGGAGGAGGCCAGGACAAATCCTGTCTGATCTGCTGGGGAGTTGTCCAGCCCCAATGCGAAGGAAGTTGGGTTCCAGGCAGACTGGGAGGGGATCCTGTAGTAACTGTTATTTCTTCACAGGCTGCCGGTGGTGCTAGTGGGAAACAAAGCAGATCTCTCTCCAGACAGGTACGGAGATCTCTATAGCTCAAGGCAAAGGAAAGTGAGATGGACTAGCAGTCAGTCAGGCTCTAGTCCTGGCTCTGCCACTGACTTGAACGAATCATTTCACCTCTTTTTGTTTCTAACTTGAAGGTTAAGGCAAGATAACCCTTCTACCGCAAAAGCTATAATTTCATATTTCAAGCCTCAGTCCTAGGCTTCTGAGTTCTCCTTTATTTTTCTCCTTCCCCAACCCACCTCCCAAACCTTAGAAACGGGATGGGTCAGAGGAAGTCTAGATTCTATAATGATTTTGCAGAGAACATGGGGACATTGCTATCTTCCATCTTTATGTTCCAAATTTGCTTCTAGGGAGGTCCAGGCAGTTGAAGGGAAGAAGCTGGCAGAGTCCTGGGGTGCGACATTTATGGAGTCATCTGCTCGAGAGAACCAGGTGCTTGGCCTGAAGCTTAGGGGCACAATCAGGGTAGCAGTGTTTTTCTTATGGCACTGCTTGGTGGTGAGGATGGTCGGGGAGTGGGGTATACACCTCAGAGCTGAGTCGTATTGGCAATGAACTGACTTTTCCCTCCCCACCCCGAATCTCTGTCCCTTGCAGCTGACTCGAGGCATCTTCACCAAAGTCATCCAGGAGATTGCCCGGGTAGAGAATTCCTATGGGCAAGAGCGCCGCTGCCGGCTCATGTGAGCCCTCAGGCATTGGGTAGCTGCCTCGATTCTGCCCCTGGCACTTGCCAGGCTCCAGCGGGTATAGGCCCTTAGGACTTAACGGGTATGGTTGCCAGCTGTGTCCCCGGTCCTCTGGTCACACAGTGTGGTACCCTCATGTTTGCACACTTTTCCAGGCTCTAATGGCCTGTTGTCAATGTTTACAATGGGGCAAGGATGTCTCATGGGACTGGCCTCTAGTCCTCTGTTTTTGCTAAATGAATTGTTATAACCTGCAGGGTTGGGATACGAGTCCTAAGCATTGTTTATTTAGGACCCTGTCTTCTGTGCAGGTTTTGGGCGTTGGCTGGGTGAGGGGAGCTGGGGATTCCTGAAGTGGAGCTGGCTCCCTAGGGTGACAATGTATATATGCAAATAAACTGAGAAATCTTTTTGTCGCTGGCTTCTCTGTATGTGGGGAGAGCTCAGGGCCAATATCTCCTTTTCCAAGGAGTGGTGACTGTGACTTTTGGTGGGGAATCAGGGCTAACTCTTTCCTCCTACTTCATTCCTATTCCTCGTGCCTCACTCATTCAGGAGGACCGTTACCCTAAGACTTACTGCTTAGTTTTTTTCACCTTTCTTTTCTGCTAGGTTCTCCTATGCCGGTACCAGTTGGCTGCCACTCCATCCAAGATTATAGACGCTCAAGGTCCCCTTAACTACAGAAACACCGCCCTCTAGTGGCCAGCTGCTGCATGCTGACCTAGCTTCCCTCCTGGGGCCTTGGCATTCGCTGGCACTCAGAGAGAGGCTAAGGTTTGGGGAGGAAGGAAGCCCCTCATCCTAGTGATGTAATAATTGAGAAGGAGTGTAGAGGCAGGGACTGAAGTGTTGGTGAAGATTTTGGCTTTCTAAGAGAGTTGAGTAAAGTAAAAATAATGCTCCTGGTGTATATCCGTCCTTCCACTCCCATGTCCCCAGAGCCTTTCATTAAGTCGATGTTCTTTGGTCTTTTCATACCTTGGGTGACCTTTTCACACCCTTCACACTTTTGGAATCGTGCCACTTTTTTAGGTGTCAAAGGGTATTGCTTCCGTTTTTGTTTTTTTTTTTAAGATTATTTATTGAGAGAGAGAGCATGCGCGAGCATGTGCCTGAGCCTGGGGAGGGGGAGGGGCAGAGGGAGAGGGAGAGAGATACTCTCGAGATTCCGGGGGCTCGATCTCACGATCCTGAGATCATGACCTGAGCCAAAATTAAGAGCTGACTGCTCAACGGACTGAGCCAGCCAGGCGCCCCTACTTCTACTCTTTCTTCTTAACCTGCCATCTCAGTAAGAGGATGGACATTTCAGCTAGGAAGAATTGGTCCTAGCTGCCTCTACTTTTTCTGCTCATCCACCACCCCCATCAGACCTAGGGGCCAACTGGCCCAATACCTCCTCCAAGGACTTATGAGTGTTACTGGAATAGTATCCCTCACAGGGAGAACACAGACTTCTCTTGCCACCTGAGGGAGTCTGAGGTACCCTGTCCATGCACTTAGTTGGGGAGGATGGGCAAAATCTTAGCTGTGATCTTGCTGGAACCCAACTCTTGGCTAGCTGGCCTTACAGTTGGGGTGATTGTCATGCTAGTTTTCGAAAGTTTTGCCGGCTGCTTTTGCATCTCTAATCTAGAATCTAAAAAATAAGGGCTGCTGGAAGGAGCATTCTCCAAAGAGCAATCTCAGTGGTTTAGGATTCTTTTTAGGGTTGTCACCACACTCTTTCCTTACATTAAAATGAGGTCCTTTTGCACATCTGACCTGGAATACTCACTATAGGTTGTCTATTGCCCTGCTGCCCTTTCCATGAGGTCTGGGATAGACTTACAAATGTTTGAAGTTTTCTAAAAGTGTATCAAGCAATCTCAAAGTCCTGATAAAAGTCATGAATAGTAGTTAGTGGCTAGGTTGGAATACTTTTCCACTTAGCTGTGTGACCTTGTGTAGTCACTTAACCTGGCTGAGCCTCGGTTTCTCATTTACGAAGTGCAGTTAAACCTTCATAAGGTTGAGTTGAGAATTAAATTGGGATGATATATGAAATGCTTAGCATAGTCTCTCATACATAATAAACCCTTAAGAAACAGTGGCTATAGTGTTATTGGAGGTCTTTTTGGTGAAGGTCAGCCTCCTGGCCTCTGGGTATAGAGTAGAGAGGGTCCTTCCATTTTCCAACTTTTTTAAAATTAAAAAGTGTTTATTTATTTTTAAAGATTTTAAGTAATCTCTACACCCAATGTAGGACTCGAACTTGCAACCCCAAGATAAAGAGAGTGTGCTGTACTGACTGAGCCAGGCATGTGCCCCCATTTTCCAACCTCTGTCTCAGTTAATTTATTCATTATAGCTGGGACAGGTGTGGGTCGCCCCCGGACTTTTTTTGCTGAACTAGAACTGCATGGTCAGTGCAGGGTATATGATGCCACTGTGTGGCTAGCACAGGATATGCCTAGTTCTGATCCCTCCTATGAACCTGACTGGTTGGTAGGGATTTAGGTTTTCTGCACTGTCCAATATGGAAGCCACATTTCACATAGTTTTAATTTAGTATTAAAATTAAACAAAAAGGTCCTCAGTTGCACCACCTACATTTCAAAGTGCTCAGTAGCTACATGTGGCTAAGCCAAATTAGTGTAGCTCTAGTGCATTTCCATCATTGCCGAAAATTCTATAGGACAACACTGTAAACCCTTTCCCACAAAACCAGCCCTGTACCTGATTTGCCTTTCTCCACATCCTCCTTAAAAAAAATTTTTTTATTATATAAATATATATAATCCTAGGAAAAACATGGCCATTGGTTTGACTCATGGATGTCACTTGATGTGGTTCGTTGGGAAATTTTGCCTATTTTATTTAGCCTCAATCTCATCATCATAGACTTAATTCCACTTAGTTCATAACGAGGGTGAGAAATAACTAAGAATATATTAAGTATCTAGCACATAGTTAATTTGTCTCGTTCTGTTCAGCCGTGGTTACAGCTAATGCAGAAAAGGCATTCCAATCCCTTCTTGCCCAGACTTATTGGGGTGTGTGGGGGAATGCCTGCAAGTAGTGTTTTGGGATCTTCTCTAGAGTAACAGCACTCCGGCCAGGTAGCAACAAGGCTCCAAGGTCCATCCCCTCTGTTTACTAGAAAAGAGGACACAGGGCCTGAAGGTCCCGAGAGAAATACTGGGGGTCAGAGTGGGAGCACCCGGGAAAGGAAGGAAATTCCACATTTATGTTTTGATGGGGGAGGTGTGTGTGTGGTGATTGTGTGGGCACTGACTCTTCTTTCCTCAGGAGGGCCAGAGGTTTGAGAGCCAGAAGGAACGACTAGGTACTCGTCCCGCTTTCCTTCGGGCCCCCGAACGTGGCAAGAACCCACCCATTGCAGCGCCAGGCGCCGTGCCTCACTTTCTCCATTTGCGGACTCCAGTTCCCAGGATGCAGAGCAGCGGCCAATCTCCTGGCTCTTCTTCCATCCCCCTCCCGCGAAAGATTGCCCCTGGCCAAGGCAAGGGGGCAGGTGGTTTCAGGGGCCGAGAACTGCAAGGGAACGGAACTAGAAAGTGGCCGGAGTCCTAGTTTCACCAGCCGGGCGGTGAAGGAGGCAGGTCCAGGGCCGGGGCGCAGAGGAGGGGGGCTTCATTCCCACGTGTCTGCACAGTGGCCGGCCCGGCGCAGTCGGGGTTAACCCGACGCGGAGGGATCCCGCAGCGTGTGCGTAGAACTGCAGAGTCACAACCTTTCCTCCGAGAGGGCCGTATCCCTCCGCCGCTCCGCTCCAACACAAAATAGGGCCGCGTCTTCTCCTTTCTCCGCTTCTAGAGTGGGGTTCCCCAGGCAAAAGGCCCCCCCGGATCTCGCGCCGGAGGCTTCCCGAATCTCCACGACCGCTGCCGAGATCTTGGGCCAGGAAATAGCCCCTTCGCAGGAACCACCCTACCGGCCGAACAGGAGGCGGAGGGGGGGAGGCGGAGCGGCGCCGCGCTGCACTACTTTCCTCTCCGGTTGCAAATGGCTGCCTCGTTCCCCACTTTCCGCTCAGTTTCCTGACCCCCCGGTGCCGGGAGCCGGGGTTGGGCCATGCACCTCTAGGCCCCCCGCGATCACAGCCAGCCGGGGGTCGAAGGGGTGCCGCCGATCAGAGCCGGCCAGGCCGGGGGCGGGGCAGCTCCCGAGGCCAGAGGGGAAGGGAGGCGAGCGCCGGGCCTGGAGCGGCCGGAGGGGAGCGGGCAGAGGGCTCGCACCGCCCGCCCCTTCCTCTTCCTCGCCCACCTACCTTCCTCCCTTCCCCGGGGGGGGGGGAGCAGAAGGTGGGGGGCTCGAAGCCTCAGAGGGCGAGCGCTCGGGGTCGAGGAGCCCGGCGTTGGGTGTGTGTCAGGTTCAGCCCCGCGGCCCCGCCGGCTCCGCGTCGCCGTAGCTCGCGCGGCCCCGGGGCGCCGGCCCGGGCGGGGAGAGGGGCTCGGCGCTCCAGCGAGGGTCTCACGTTCCATCCGGGCCCGGCGCGGGGCGGCGCGGCATTCCTTCCGGGCTGCTGGGGAGGCGCCTCGACGTTCCATCTGGAGAGCCTCGACGTTCCGCCCGAGCCCGGCGCGGGCGGCCGGGGCGCTGGCCCGGCCCTAGGACTGAGAGGCCGCCCGGCGACGCGGATGCGGAGCCTGCTCGCCCAAGATCAAAGCCACCGGTGCTCTCTTTGTGTCCGCTCGGGATTCGCCGCCCTGGGGCTGTCCATGGAAACCTAAACTGCTGGAACCCGAAGCAGAGAACCCTTCTTTGGCTTCTTGCTTTTTTTGGGGGGGGAGGAGGGTGGCCACTCCGACCTGGATTTACCGTTCTTGGCCCCCCTAAGCCCCCCCGTGCGGGGGGCGGCTGTGATCGCTGTGGCGGTTGGAGGTCGGGGAGCGGCCCGGGCTCTGGCCATGTTCTCGGATGAGGATTTCTGGATCGCCCTGTGAAGAGGTGAGTGAAGTCTGCCCGGCCAGGGCCCAGAAAGGGTTGGACTGGGGGCATAGCCAGATGGACTATCTTGGCCGGAGCTGGCCTTTAGGTTGGAGAAAGGGGTGCCAGAGCTGAGGAGGGTTCCTTTGGCAGGGTCTGTCAAGGGAACCTGAGCCAGTCGCCGGGGCAGAACTGAGGCCTGGTGTCTGGGCTGTGCCTCTTTAAAGACTGGGGGTTCAGGGAACCACGGGAGTTTGGGAACCTGGCCAGATCGCCTTTCTGCCTGTTTATTTTTGTGTTGGGGGGAAGCTCTGCTAAACTAGGACCCAGGCCCTGATGCCAGCACCAATCCCAGTTGGCTGCTTCTCCCTCAGGGTTCCTTGTGGGCCTTGGGAACAGAACAACTTTGGGAGGGAGGATAGAGTGCCCCTGCCAGGTCAGACTTAATGCCAGGTTGGACTTTAAGGTTGTTCTTGCCCATCCGGGCAACCAGAAGCAGTCTCTGGGAGACTCCAGGAACCCTAGGTCTTTCACCAGGCCTCATTTTACTGTGCAAAGGGGAGAGTGTGTGGAAATTGACTAGTGTGATGAACGGGGTGGCTAGGGCGAGAAGGAGGCGGGGCTGGGGGCAGCTCTGGCCTTGCTGTTCAACTTTAAACTGCCCCTGCCTGGCAAAGTGACCCCAGCGAGGCCTAGTGCTGTCTTAGCCTGCTTTGCCTCTCCTCCTCTGGGGATGGACATAATCTCTAGGGGATTATAGAGGAGGCCGTTGAGATTTGCTCCCTGCGAATGTGGGCTGCAAAAAAATGGCTTTTGTCTCCCGCTTTCTCTGGGCCTAGTGCGGAGAGCTGGTTGCCCATAAGTCCCTGGCCAATCCCACAGGCCCCTCCCAGACCTCTCCAACCCTTTTCAATCAGGGAATGTTAACTGGTCCTCTGATCTTGTCCCAAGCCTGCAGAATAGGGTGGCCTGTCCCTCTTTGGAGGAGAAATGACCTGATCAGAGCTGTTTCTACTGAAGCCTGTGTTCCCAACCCTGGCAGGAGGTGTTGGGGGAAGAAGGGGTGTGTATGTGAGTGTACGAAGGGTGCAGCATGAGCCTCATGCCTCTGGGCCCTGGGCTGGGACAGCCCCTCTCACAGCTGTCATGCTGCCCAGCAGGGATTTGGCTGGTGTGTTTTGCTCCCTCACTCCACCCCCTCCAACATACATAGACTAGCTCCCTTTGGGCCTGGTCTTGGAAAGGAGAAAATAGGGATTTTGCTCTTGAAAGACTTCTGGGTGGTAACCCTGAGCTGAGAGGTGCTATAGGGGTGGTGGAGTGAGGCTAGCTGTCACCCATCTCTCTGCCTTTGCCTCCTCAGGAGCGTCCCTCCTGTTGTCTGGCCCCAAAGAACTTCCTTGGGAGGGACCTCTCCTTGTTAGCTGTGGCTAACCCCAGGATGACCCAGAGACAGTCTGGAGGGTCGACAGGGCCAGTATTGCCATTTGGATTTTTCCTGGAGGGCTGGCCCAAAATGGGGGTGGGGAGAGGTGTGGTTTGATTCTCAGGCTGGGAACCAGGAAGTCCTGAGTCCTACAGAAGAGCTGTTCACTCAAGGGCCTATTTCAGCCTTTCACCTCCCCAAGCCTCCATTTCCCCTTTGGCTGGGAAAATGGAGTTAAAGCTATTGATCTGGGATGGAGGCAGTGGGGGAGAATGGGTTGAGACGAATCCATATCTTCTTCCTTGCTGTTTTGAGCCTCTTAGGCCCAGGACTAAGGGAAGCCAGCACCATTTTACTCCCTAGATCTGTACTTCTCTGGGATCTCTAGTTTCCCAGAGGAAGCCTAGCTAGGTATTAACCCAATTTAGATCCAGGGAAAAAAAACTTTTGGGTGTGTGTGTGTGTGTGTGTGTGTGTGTGTTTGATTTCTGGCTGTGAAAGATGGGACAGGGGAACCTGTGGTCTTCATTTGTTTTGATCCGTTGAGGGGCCTGGCAACTGGGACTCAGCATTGGGGTGCAGGTGCTAGACTGCAGGGTAGAGAAATGGAGCCCAGGCTTCTTGGAGGTACCCCTAGATTCTTTTTGGTACAGCTTGGAGGACACTCTACTCTTTGCTGCTTGATCTATCTTCCATGGCCCCATGAATGAGGCTCTGGCTTTGGAGGATGTTGGTACTCTGTCTTCCAAGGCTGGACGAAGGTGGTTTCTGTACCTCCCCGAGCAGTGCCAGCCTCACCAGCTTGAGAGGGCTGCGCTCGGGGGAGGGCAGAGGAATTTGTCCCTCTGGCCTTGTGTGAGGCAGTCCTCCTCCCACCTCCTGTATTATCACTGTTGCTTTTTATTTCTTACTGTTTGTGACTCCTTTGGCCTTAACTGTGAGAGCAGAGCTGGTGGAGGATCTTTGGGGGCATGTAGTGGTAAGGTACAGTAAGGTGCACACATTCAGGCAACTTTAAAGTCTCTGGGTGTGGTCAGGCCTTGAATGACTGAATAGGAAAAGGGACCTGGCTGGGGCCCTGACTTCGAACCCCTGCTTCCCAACAGTGGCTTCTAAGGGCCCCTTGAAGTCCCAGAGCTACTTTTCTGTGAGCTGGCCAGATGACCTTCCTACTTTCCTTTCAGGTGTGGTTGTGTGACAGGTTTGGGAAAGAGATGAGCTGGGAATGGAGGTAACATTGTATCTTTCCCAATCTAGTAGATTCTGATAGTGTGAGGGGAAAAAAGGTAAAACAAAACTTCTTTTCCTGTGATATGTCACAGAAGGTGTGTTGCCAGTCTCTGGAAATGGAGTGTAAGCTCAGGGAAAGAGGAGTGATAATTGTGGTTCTTAGGTAATTGATTTACCCATCCTGGGCCCCTTTGAGGGTTCCCCCATCTCATCTGCCCCAGTCACGCAGCCCCAGTGGTCGACCACTGGAGTATTTGGTTTGGGAAGAGACGCTTGTCCTTACTGAGGTTGGTGTGGACCCTCTGGTTAAATAAGAGGAGTGGAAAAGGTGGGAGAGATAAATTGCTCAAATTTTATTTAGAGTCGTTTCAGGGGTTTCCCCTTTCCCGTGCCCCCACCCCCAATCCTTAGGAACACTCTGCGCTCTTTTCTCTGCTTACACCCCTACCCTTCCCATTAAGAGCTGCTCGCACCTATGCCTTTATTCCCTTCTTCTAAAAGATGTCTCTCTTCTTCCTCACCTCTGTAACTCTTCACTTCTCTTTTTTGTACTGTGCTTATTAGTTCCCTCTGGGGTTTAGGAAAATATGCCTAAAGGGTGGGCATACCTTCTTAGGTATAACTTCAGTGTGTTTCATTTGGCTCTGGTATAGGCAGGCATACTGTAGAAAAGGGGACCGTTACCCCCCGCCCCCATAGTGTGTGTGGAAACCCTGCTTGACGGAAGAGGAAGGAAGCTACTCTGCTCTGCTGTGTCCTCCCCGGTTTAGAACTCCTCCAAGTGGCAGTGTGTTTCCTGAGACTACAACTCCCAGCATGCCTAGCCTCAAGCCTGGCTACACATGCTCAGTAACTCTTAAGGCCCACTTCTGTTAACTACTAGGGACATCTGAGGAGGAAGGGCAGTTGGCGTTGCTAAGGGCAACGACCTGAGGCCTTCAGGCTGGGTGAGATCCTGAGCTCAGTCACAGCAGGGGTCTGAGCTGGATTTGGATGGGCAGTGGGGGGAAATTGGGGAGTTTCTTCTGTTGTGATTGGGATCTCCTGGTTGAAACCCGTGGAAGTGGGAGAGATCCATCCATAGCTGGGCTTTAGTTTCAGTGATGTATTCTCCATCCTGCAAGACCTCAGGCTCTGTCTCTGGGAGAGGGATTTTGACTGGACTCAGACTTCTTGGGTTATGGCTACCCTTGGGTTGGCACTGACATACGTCTAGGATGGTAGCTGACTTGAGATCCGAAGAAAAAAGCCAGGGAATAGGGCTCACCAGGAGCCAAGAGCTCAGACCTGAGGCAAAGGGTGGTACTGGAGATAGATTGGATATGCTTCTAGTTGGGTGCTATTGCCCTGGGAACTCTCATGCAGGAGGTAGGAAGGGGGAAAGGGGAGTGGATCCCCTGAGAATCCAGAGTGGGAGAATATGGTATGTGTTTATCTGGGGAAGAAGTAGGCAGTGGGATAAGGGTTAAGGAGAAAGACTTTCCTGGTTATTAGAACAGGAGTTTGTAGGTGTGGCTTTTCTCGATTTTCTGTAAAGTCTAGTTAGGTATAGGTGTTTTCCTTCTAGGATTCTGGGAAAAGTGTTTAGTTGGGGAGACTTACTAGACATATAGATCTTTCTTTTTGGCTCCCGACAGGTCTCCCCGAGAGGGCCCTGCCCAGTCGGAGAGAGGGATGGACAGCCAGAAGCCGCCTGGTGAGGATAAAGATTCAGAACCGGCAGGTGAGTAGGGCAAATTCTGGGTTTGCTGGCAGCCTTCTGCCCTTCCCAGGCAACCTTAGGTTTCGGGCCCTGACACAAGGACAGAAGCTAAGTCTGCGTAATAAACAGGTAATTGAAGGACTTTGTTCTTTGGAACAAAAGGCAAATTGCCCTCACTGTGATCTACCAAGGGTTTTGGTTAATCTCCAGGGTCTGATGAGTGGACTAGTATCATATAGAGGATGATGGCTGATGTATGCGTCTCTCTCTGTTCATTCAGCTGATGGACCTGCAGCGTCTGAGGAGTCAGGCACCACTGAGCCAGACCTTCCCAACCCACATGTGGGGGAGGTCTCTGTGCCCAGTTCTGGAGGTCCTAGGCTTCAGGAGCCTCCCCAGGACTGCAGGTAACTAGTTTGGGGAAATGAGGATATAAAGGCATATAGAGATTTGATTTGAGAATCTCCGCTTTCTTTTTTTCTTTTCTTTTTTTTTAAGATTTTATTTATTTATTTGAGAGAGAGAGAGAATGAGAGAGAGCACATGAGAGGGGTTAGGGTCAGAGAGAGAAGCAGACTCCCTGCCGAGCAGGGAGCCCGATGTGGGACTCGATCCCGGGACTCCAGGATCATGACCTGAGCCGAAGGCAG